TCTTGAAATCGTTGAAACATCGAAGATATATCCCGACTCACGGCAAACTGACTTTTAAATAATACAAGGTTAGAAAGCGCCGCATTAAGCAACTGCATAAAAGTTTCTTCTTGTGGCGTTCTCTCAATGCTAGCAAGTCCTATTATAATTGAATTTTATATTAATTTATACGTTTAATCATTTATAAATACAAGAACTAACCTTCGAAATCCAGCGCAACATAGAGAATTTTTTTGGTTTTTGCTATTATAAATGATTATATAATGATAAATTTACTTCAAATCTTAAATAAACACGTCTACTAATGAAAATTTTTACCAAGAGACATCCAAACGCCTTCGGTGCAACGCTTTTTATAAAAACAAATAATCATTAATTAACTTTTTGAATTAATTGTCCTAATACGTATAGTTATTACCATTGCAGATCCATCAAAAGTTGAACCAACATAATGATTTAATAAATAGCTCTTTCCTATTAGGAATCAATATAGATATAAATTTATTATCGTTATATGCATCATCATAACAAGAGTACTTGTATTATCTTACCACATGATTGTTCGCCCATTGAAGAAATAACTTTGACCTCTAAATCAGCATAATGCTCAAAAATAGCTTCATACCATCCAAAAGAGATAGCTTTACTGACACTTCCAATGAACCCAAAGCCTTCATCTAACGATGGTTTTTCTATCTCAGAAGAAAAAAGACCGTCTTGAAGAGGAATAAATTCATTATCACGGGCTACAGCAATTTGTAATGGAATTAGGCAAAAGAAATCGACCATCCATCTATAATAACATGAAATTTAGTATTTAACGTTAATGATTATTTTGGATTACATCAATAGAGAAATACTTACTCGCCAAGTTGATAAATCGTGAAATTATCTTTAATGTCTTGAAAGGTTGTAAATCTAATATTGAAATTTTTTAGATGACCGAGTGGCTTTCTTGTTTCTATTTTAAACTTTGCAAACATTTTTTCGATATAATTTTTAACTTTAACCGGATAGTTTTCTAAATTTTTAGTCAAATTATCGACTACAATTGTAAGTGTTAATGGATTGTCCACGCGACCGATTGGACTTGTTATTGCGTATTTCGTGAATACCATTGAGTAAACATCAAGGAGTCCATTGATAGTTGTTCGTGTCTCAATGCTAAATTCTTTCCAAACTCCATATTCGATGTTAACAAATTGAGTAGCATTGCTGGAAATTTTTAATATTGTATCGGTCATAATTTCGATTACTTGCTTTTTTTCATCTCCGATCACTATTAAATCCCCTATATGAATATCCCGAGTAAAGTGTGTCTCATTACCAACAATGACGAATGGCCGCCGATTTTCTACTTTAACTTTACCGAGAGATTTTCGTTGTGATTGTCTTTCGAATCGATATTGCGTATCTGCGTGAGTAATTTTTACTATGGCTGAATTAAAAGTGCCTTTTTCTTGATCAATTGTAGTCAAATGCATTTGTCGAT